AGAAATATGAGGGAGGAGGAGGAGGATGTGTGATGTCTTAGGAGGTATAGAGAGGCGAGGTAAAGGGTTGATGGCTCCGTACACGTCCTAACACACACACACACACATGCACGTTCATACTCTCTCTCTCTCTCTCTCTCTCTCTCTCTCGAGCTGTGGTGTATAGACAATTTCGACTTCATCTGCAGGTAAACTCCAGGTGTGAGAGAGAGAGAATGATAAGTCAGTTGTTCTACGGACCATTATTGTTGTCTCCTTTCCCTGTTTATTTTCTTTCTTATTTAAAACCGTAAATTAAATAACTAAATCGTAAGTGAGTTTTTTTTTGTAATTATTTGCCAAATTTTTAGCTAAATTTTTAATACACATGGAAATATAATTCTAATTGTTAATGGTTTAGGTTGGGTTAATTTTTCTTAGAATTTAAAAACCATTTAAAATTAAGAAATTCCTTTTGAGTTTTCTAATTTTTATGTTCATTTTATCTAATTATTTAAAACTCTTGAAATGGAAACCACGATTTTGAAGTTATCTAAATTTGGTTTTAATTTTCCTTAGAATTTAAAACCCCACAAGTAAAAAAAATAAAATAAAATGTGTAGATAGTGGTTTAAAATTTGTGATTATTTCTCCTACAAGATAAAGTATCGATTTCCAAAAAGTTTTGAAAATTTAGAAAAAAAATCGTATTGTAAATTACTTGGTTTATCACCGTGTTTATTTTCCTGAGTTAAAAAAAAAAAAAAAAAATATATATATATATATATATATATATATATATATATATATATATATATATATATATATATATATATATATATATATATATATATATAGTAGGTTGGGTCATCATTTGTCCTGCATCCAATAAGACGACTCTATTTAGGCATTAAAGCATTATCTTAACCCGAGACGACTTTGAAACTGTACTACACTACCTGACTGCTTAGAAACTACACTACTTAATTACTACACTACTTTGCTACTTAAATACGTCATTACTTAAACACTACACATTTCACTACTTTTTACTATACTACTTAGCTACTACACTACCTCACTACTTGCACACCTCACTACTTAACTACTACACTACCTCACTACTTAAATACTCCACTACTTAGCTACTTCACTACCTCACTACTTATCTACTTCACTATTTCACTACTTAAATACTTCACTACTTAGCTACTACACTACCTCACTACTTGCACACCTCACTACTTAGCTACTACACTACCTCACTACTTACACACCTCACTACTTTGCTACTACACTACCTCACTACTTAACACACAGGTCAAAGTAGTATCCTCACCATTAAGTTCTGTACATTGGTAATAGGTCAACTAAAACCTTTGCATTCGTAATATGGCAATTAAACTTCCGTCGTTTATTTTAATTAGCGTTATTGTACTCATGATTTTTGTGAATTATTCTCCCATGCATAATTTTACAATATAACTTTTTCATGGACAGGTTTGTGCATTTTAGTTTGGTGAATAATTGCATAGTGTCGTGTCATTCATCCAGGTATTGTCATTATTAGTTAATTGATGTTATTAAGAACTTGTATAATGTTTATCTGTAATTACATCTAGGAATTAACCATACCGAATCTAACCGAACATAACCGTAACCATACCGAATCTAATTTAACTTAACCAGACGTAACCTAACCTAACCAACTTAAAAACGTAACCTAATCTAACCTAACCCAATTTAACCAAACGTATCCTACCTTAGTCAACTTAAAAACCTAACCTAACCAAACGTATCCTAACCTAGCCAACTTAAAAACGCAAAGTAACCTAACCTAACCTAAGTACTTACAATTGAGATGTAAGTGCGTCTAACTTAAACTTGACTGCTCTTCGGGTTTTTCAAAAGTTTACGGGACTTCTGGATAGCTTATTGGGAGGCCTTGACAGCTTAACGGAGGCCTTGACAGCTTAACGGAGGCCTTGACAGGATTTTCTGGGGTGCTGACAATTTAGGGGAAGCCTTGACAGCTTCACGAGAAGTCTTGATAGATGAACGGAATGTCCTGGCAGCTTAACGGGGATCTCGACAACTTTTTCTGGGGTGCTGTCAATTTATGGCGGTCTTGACAGCTTAATGCAGGTCTAAACAGCTTAATGCAGGTCTTGACAGCTTACCGGGGGTCTTCACAGTTTAACGGAGATTTTGGCACCTTTCTGTGAGCTTAACGGAAGACTTGACAGTTTATCAGAGGGCCTAGACAGCTTAACAGTAGTCTTGACAGCTTAACGGTAGTCTTGACATATTAACGGTAGTCTTGACAGCTTATCTGAGGGTCTTGACAGGGCCTTGCCAGATTTTTGTAGGTGTTGGGAGCTTGAGGACGAATATTTTTCCAGCATGGTTTCTAAGAACTCTTGAGTACGATGAAAGTTTATATTGGCGTTGCTTCTTGTACATATTGAGAGAGAGAGAGAGAGAGAGAGAGAGAGAGAGAGAGAGAGAGAGAGAGGACACGAAAAATAAAATGAAAGGGTGTGATTGACTAGAGAGAGAAAAAGGAAAGAGAAAAATTTAAAAAGGAAATTGGAGAGAAGAGAAAGGTAAGAAAGACAAGGAGAGAAAAATTAGTAGAAAAAGTGAGGAGAGAAAGATAGATAATGAAAGAATGACAAAAAGAAAGGGAAAAAAGGAAATGAAAGCTAGATATAAGATAGAAAGGGAAGGGAAAGAAACGGAAGATGAAAGGATAGAAGAGAAAATGAAATAAAGAAGATCGAGAACAGGAATACACAGAGAAGAGGACAAGAAAAGATGAGAGTAAACAACTAAGAACGGAAGAAGGAATAAGAGAGAAGACAAAGAGACGAAGACAGGGTGAGAGGAAGATGAATAATGGAGAAACGAGAAGAGATGTATGAGGTGGCAATAAAGAGATAAAGAGGAGAAGAAGGGAAGAGAGGAGAGTGAATGATGATGGGAGGAAGGTGAGGGGAAAGAAAAGAGGACGGAGAACAATTTTGATAAAGACGTGAGAAGAGGTAATAGTGAATAAATTGATAGGTGGATGGATAGAGGAAATGCAAGGGGAGAGAGACAGAGCGGAATAAAGGAAGAGAGAGAGAGAGAGAGAGCTTACATATATAAATGCAAACTTGCTTACGTCCCTGTAAACTAAACCAAATTATAAACAAAAAACAAAATAAAAAAGTGAACAGTAATGATAAAATTTGATAACTAAATAAGACCTGTGAAAACAAGGGGCAAAACTCAGCGCTGGTTCAACACTTTGCCTTCCCCGCTCTGCCTGGTCGGGCGCGTCAGGCTGGCAGTGTCGGTAAAATCAGTCTTCGCACCAAAGGTTTGATGAGTTTCCAATTTCCTTGATCAGAGTTCGCGCAAATCATTCATTTTCGCAAAAACGTATTTCCGATATCGGCGTCGAACCGGCCTCAGCTGAGCTAGCTCTTATACCCTTGGCGCTCGGCCCATCACTCATCCCACCCCTCTCTCTCTCTCTCTCTCTCTCTCCATTTTTCCCTCTTTCCTCCCTTTCTCCCCTTTTCCTCCTTCTCTCCGTCTTTCCATCCCCCTCTCCGTCGTTCCTTCCCTCGTTTCCCCTTTCCGTCTCTCTCTCTCTCTCTCTCTCTCTCTCTCTCTCTCTCTCTCTCTCTCTCTCTCTCTCTCTCTCTCTCTCTCTCTCTCTCTCTCTCTCTCTCGATATAAATATTATAATTGCCTTCATATTATTTATCAACCTAACCTAAACATAAGTTCTATGCTCACTCCAATGGGCGAACTCTTTCACCCTCGACTGTGGCGCCGGCAAGAGGCTGCTAAGTGTAAACAATAGTTGCCAGACAAAGATTAAGTAGATATATAATTCTCTAATTCTACAAAATAATCAGTGTGTTGTTTTGAAAGTATCTACCTACCCTATCCCAACAACCCAACCAACAACAACCCAACAACAACAACCCAACCATCATCCCAACCACAACCCAACAACCCAACAACAACCATCATCCATCCCAACCCAACAACCAACAACAACAACAACAACAACAACAACAACTTCATTATTGTCCATCATCCCAACAACCAACCCAACCCAACCCAACCCAACCCATCCCATCCCATCCCAACCCAACCCAACAACCCATCCCATCCCATCCCAACCCAACCCAAACCCTACCCTACCTTACACAACTCTTGCTCTACCCAACTCAACCCTATCGAACCCAGTCCAACCCGACTCTACCTTAACTTACCTTACCTTACCTTACTTTACCTTACCTTAAAACTTATATGGTATTTGCTTAAAACTTTGTAGGAACTAAGTTTACTCAAGTCAACTCCACCTAAAAAAAAGGGTCATTCCTCTTTCCACTTTTTTTCCTAAAACTTATAGTTATAGAAGTTCTCGTCCGTAGAGTTGTGTTAAATCCTTGTTCCATTAGCTAGTCCCATAAGGGGCTTTTAGCGCCTCAAATTATCTTTTCGTAGAATTTCTCTTTCATAAAATAAATATATATATATATATATTTCCTCTTGAATATTATGATTTTCAGAAAGTTGGATTCCACACAAACTGTTGTCTCTTAAAACGGTGTTGTGTTCCCCCAAAAGGTGTTGTGTTCCCCCAAAAAGGTGTTGTGTTCCCCCCAAAAAGGTGTTGTGTTCCCCCCAAAAAGGTGTTGTGTTCCCCCAAAAGGTGTTGTACTAAAAGGTGTTGTGTTCCCCAAAAGGTGTTGGTTGTGTTCTCTAAAAGGTGTGTTGTTGTGTTCCCCCCAAAAGGTGTTGTGTTCCCCCCATAAGGTGTTGTGTTCCCCCCAAAAAGGTGTTGTGTTCCCCCAAAAGGTGTTGTGTTCCCCCCAAAAGGTGTTGTGTTCCCCCCACAAGGTGTTATGTTGTCCCCAGAAGGTATTGTCTCGAATAAGTTGTCCCCAAAAGCTGAAATTCCCAAAAGGTAAAGCTCCCACAAGCTGCTTTCTCTAAACCCTGCCTTCCCTAGTAGCTCAGGGGGTCGTGGAGGTAGAAGACTCAGGGTCGTAGGGAGCTGAGGTGAGGGCTGAAGCAGGGCTAAAAGGTCGTACGGGGGGCTCAGAGTTAGCTTTGGGAAGGACATGGGTGGTCGTTGGGGGCTGAGGGTGGAGACTAGGGAGGGCTGGAGGGTCGTAGGAGGCCTCAGGGTGGGACTGGGGAGGACTGGAAGATCGTAGTGGCGATGTGAAGCTGGGAGGGCTGGGGGTTGTAGTGGGCTTAGAGTGGGGTCTGAGGAGCGCTGGTGGGGTCTGGGAAGGGCTGGTGGGTCGTAAGGGGGCTGAGGGTAGCTGGATGGTCGAAGGGGGCTGAGTGTGGGGTCTGGTGAGGGCTGGAGGGTCGTAGGGGGTTGAGGGTGAGGTCTGGTGAGGGCTGGAGGATCGTAGGGGGCTAAGTGTGAGGGCTGGACAACAGTAGGACCCGCCACTTGATTTAGATAGTTAATGACTAAAGTTTGGCCATAACATCCCAGATGTAACTACCTCGTTAGACAGTGAACTCCTCGTGACAGCCTGGTCTAAAACAGCCTTGATGAACAAGTAGTGGAGTTTGTTCACCACAAGTATGGTCGTTTGCCGTCTTGATGAACACATAACACCGCCTCCTGTGTTGTTACTACTAGTGCTGTCGTAAGGCCTCGTGATTCCTTGTTATTATTATTATTTACGGCTGCGACACGTTGAGGGAAGAAGAAAGAAAAAGATAATAGACACGGGAGACAAAGAGGGAAAGTCTGTGTACACAATGGTGAGAGGAACAGTTTGGTGATACTTGATGCGGTAACACACACACACACACACTTCCCCCTCTCCCCACACACACACACACACACACACACACACTTCCCCCTCTCCCCACACACACAAACGCCCACACACACACACACACACACACACACACACACACACACACACTCCCCTCCCCCACACACACACACACACACACTTCCCCCTCTCCCCACACACACACACACACACACACACACACTTCCCCCTCTCCCCACACACACAAACGCCCACACACTGCAAAATACAAAGAAAAACAGCTCTTTGTATCACAACTTCTCTGAAAAGATTTCTCTCCGGTAACGCCACATTCTCGGAATATAAAAAACAAAAACAAACAAAAACAAGAAAAACAAACATCATTCAATACCAAAGAGTAAGAAAGACAGAGGCCCCAAAAAACGTTATCATGATTCACAAGAATTCTCAAAAGATCAATGTTGTCATAAGTTAAAACACTGGCTATTAAAACTAAGAACAGTCAGTGAGAGAGAAGAGAAGAGAAGCTGGTTGGTGGTTGATGAGTTCTCTATAAAGACCTCGAGGGTGTAACGGGGTGCTGAAGAAGGCTCGGGTGAAGTGTGGGGAAAGGTGAGAGTAGGAGAGAGAGAGAGAGAGAGAGAGAGAGAGAGAGAGAGAGATGAGTGCGTTCGGTGAGTGCGAATTTATGGATTATAATTATATGTGTGTTTTTGTATGTGTGTTTGTGGTCAGGGAAAGAGAATATAGTTATTATTAGTATGTGTATTTGCGCTTGTGTATGTATATGTGTGTGTGTGTGTGTATATATTTGTACGTGAATGAGTGAGTGAGTGAGTGAGTGAGTGAGTGTGAAAGAGAGAGCGTGCGTGCGTGCGTGTTTTGGGTTAGAAAGTCACACACAAGAATGAAGAGAAGATGAACTAACACTTGCACCAGGAGTCCCAGAGGTTGGTGGTGTTAATTTTCCTTCTTACTCCAAGATGTGAGAGAAAGCATCTGGCTCACACAAGCACCGGCAACACAGATAGCGCCCCAGACACCGTCCAAATTGCTGCGAGACCTGAGGGTGACTTGGTACTCTCGTCTCTTAAAAGAAAAAAAAAATTAACACCATGAACCAACATCTTTTTAAATGTTTTTTTTTTTTCTAATGGGATGGTTTTATTTTTTTTATGGGATGGTTTTGCAATGTGTTTTTATTTTTAATGGGGAGTTTTTTAATGTTTTATTTTATTATTATTATTTTTAGTTTTTCGTGTTAGGTTTTTCTTCATCGTTAGTATTTTTATCTTACTTGGAGCAAAACCTTAACACTTTTTGTCTTATATTAAAGTTGATATAAGAAAAAATTTAACTTAAACTAAGGATCAATTAAGAAAAGGAAATATTTTAATTAACCTTGTTTATGTAGTTCTGTTGAGAGAGAGAGAGAGAGAGAGACCAAGAGGAACTTACTGTATACAAGATGGCGAGGTGGGACTGCCAGGGTCCACAAGATGCTTCTAGTAAACTTTCATTCTTTCCTGCTACTTGCTTTAATACCTCTCTCTCTCTCTCTCTCTGATATACTGTAACTTGTTTGGTGTTCTGACGAATATAGTGGCTGCCAGCGTGAATATATATGTGTGTGAACGCTATGCATGGTGAATCTTAAGTACATATTCAATAGTGTCATTATACCCTGACCGTGCATGATCAATAGTGAGTTAGTCATTACCAGAGGCCAAGTGACTGTCATTATATCCTGTCCGTGCATGATCAATAGTGAGTTAGTCATTACCAGAAGCCAAGTGACTGTCATTATACCCTGTCCGTGCATGATCAATAGTGAGTTAGTCATTACCAGAGGCCAAGTGACTGTCATTATACCCTGTCCGTGCATGATCAATAGTGAGTTAGTCATTACCAGAAGCCAAGTGACTGTCATTATACCCTGTCTGGTCATGTTTTCTGCCAATGCATGACCAAACAGTCCGCCAATCCCCACCGAAGGCCAAGCTACGGTCGTATTCATCTCTCTGTGCATGACCAAACAGTCCGCCAATCCCCACCGAAGCGCTTGTGATGGTTGTAATCCATTCGCCTGCATAATAAAACTAATTTCGAGCTCATTGACATGTTTTTGATCCGTTTAATGTGAAAATTATGCATGACGTAACCAAAATGATTTGATATAAACGTTAAATATATAGTGAAAGGGGATGTCTGTCTGTCTGTCTGTCTGTCTGTCTGTCTGTCTGTCTGTCTGTCTGTGTGTTTTCGCCTGGTTGTAAAAGACAGAAATATTGTCCTCGTCACAGTCCAAGTGTTAGCGGAGTGGAAATATAATTCAATTAATTAGCCAACTTTGATCAGCTGTTTGTGATCAGTTCTCTTTGATCAGCTGTCTGTAATCAGTTCTATTTGATCAGCTGTCTGTGATCAGTTCTCGTTGATCAGCTGTGTGTGATCAGTTCTCGTTGATCAGCTGTGTGTGATCAGTTCTCTTTGATCAGCTGTCTGTGATCAGTTCTCTTTGATCAGCTGTCTTTTATCAGTTCTCTTTGATCAGCTCTCTGTGATCAGTTCTCGTTGATCAGCTGTGTGATCAGTTCTCTTTGATCAGCTGTGTGTGATCAGTTCTCTTTGATCAGCTGTCTGTGATCAGTTCTCTTTGATCAGCTATCTGTGATCAGTTCTCGTTGATCAGCTGTCTGTGATCAGTTCTCGTTGATCAGTGTTTCGAATCAATAATAATCAGTCCTCTCTTGTTAGCCTGTTTCTAACTCATCGTCAACAAGTACCAGTTTGGATCAGCCATCTCTTGACTTCGTCCACTTTGAGTAGTCATTTACAGTCAGTGGGGAGTCTTTTGATCAGCCGGTCTTTGATCAACTCTTTTAACTCTCGTATTCTTTTTCTCTCTAGTCTGTGCCCCCCCCCATCACACACACACCCTTCCGTCCGTCCTCCCTTCCCTTCCGCTCCCTTCCCTTTCGTTCGTTCGTTCGCTTTTCGTTCGTTCGTTCGTTCGTTCGTTCGTTCGTTCGTTCCTTCCTTCCTTCCTTCCTTCCTTCCTTCCTTCCTTCCTTCCTTCCTTCCTTCCTTCCTTCCTTCGTTCGTTCGTTCGTTCGTTCGTTCGTTCGTTCGTTCCTTCCTTCCTTCCTTCCTTCCTTCCTTCCTTCCTTCCTTCCTCATCTCGAAGACGAAATCAAGGCGATAACAAGATACGTGAGAGAGAGAACAGAACCCGTGTGCAAACTAACAGACATACAGACCTCCCTCATTTCTCTCACCAGGTTTACGCACCGATAAACTGTAATTACGTGTCCGAAACTTAAAAAAAAATTAATCTATATAAAAGAAGAAAAGAAATTATATCTTTTCTTTAGCTCTATAAAATACAATTAACGTTATGAGAGTTCTAGTGCCGTGAGAAAGGAACACACACACACACACACACACACACACACACACACACACACACACACACACACATGAGAAAGAAACGCATCTTATACCATGATAAAGTATCGCATCTTTTACCGTGAGAAAGGAACACGTCTTGGTGCGGGAAGAAGCTCAACTCCGTGATGACTGCAGAGAGAATTAAACAAGTCGGCCTCTGTTATCCTGAGGTATTTTTCACCGGGAGGGAGAGCCGGCCTCGTCCAGGTGGCGTGGAGGTTATTGTCTCTCTGACTGACTCTCTCTCTCCAGTATGTGTGTGTGTGTGTGTGTGTGTGTGTGTGTGTGTTGTGTGTGTGTGTGTGTTGGTACAGGCACAATGGTAATAATGGTCATGTTAATCTGTAAAGATAAGAACTGATTCATATCCCGACTCGTAAGGTTACCAGATCCTTCGATCTGTGAGGTTACCAGATCCTTCGATCTGTGAGTTACCAGATCCCGATCTCGTGAGGTTACCAGATCCTTCGACTCGTGAGGTTACCAGATCCTTCGACTCGTGAGGTTACCAGATCCTGACTCAGAGGTTACCAGATCCTGACTCTCAGCACAGATCCTTCGACTCGTGAGGTTACCAGATCCTGACTCGTGAGGTTACCAGATCCTTCAAGTCGTGAGGTTACCAGATCCTGACCTGAGGTTACCAGATCCCGACCTGTGAGGTTACCAGATCCTCGACTCGTGAGGTTACCAGATCCCTGACTCGTGAGGTTACCAGATCCTGACCGTGAGGTTACCAGATCCTTCGACTCGTGAGGTTACCAGATCCTTCGACTCGTGAGGTTCCCAGATCCTTCGACTCGTGAGGTTACCAGATCCTGACCGTGAGGTTACCAGATCCTTCGACTCGTGAGGTTACCAGATCCTTCGACTCGTGAGGTTACCAGATCCTGACTCGTGAGGTTACCAGATCCTGACTCGTGAGGTTACCAGATCCTGACTCGTGAGGTTACCAGATCCTCCGACTCGTGAGGTTACCAGATCCTTCGACTGTGAGGTTACCAGATCCCTGACTCGTGAGGTTACCAGATCCTTCGACTCGTGAGGTACCAGATCCTCTGACTCGTGAGGTTACCAGATCCTTCCAAGTCGAGGTTACCAGATCCTTCGACTCGTGAGGTTGCCAGATCCTTCGACTCGTGAGGTTACCAGATCCTTCGATCTGAGGTTACCAGATCCTGACTCGTGAGGTACCAGATCCTTCGACTGTGAGGTTACCAGATCCTTCGACTCGTGAGGTTACCAGATCCTTCCAAGTCAGATCCTGTGAGGTTTCCAGATCCTTCGACTCGTGAGGTTACCAGATCCTTCGACTGAGGTTACCAGATCCTCCGAGTCGAGGTTACCAGATCCTGACCATGAAGTCACCAGATCCTTCGACTCTGAGGTTACCAGATCCTTCGACTCGTGAGGTTACCAGATCCTGACTCGTGAGGTTACCAGATCCTTCAACTCGTGAGGTTACAGATCCTTCAACTCGTGAGGTTACCAGATCCTTCGACCCGTGAGGTTCCAGATCCTTCGACTCTGTGAGGTTACCAGATCCTTCGACTCGTGAGGTTACCAGATCCTTCGACTCGTGAGGTTACCAGATCCTTCGACTCGTGAGGTTACCAGATCCTTCGACTGTGAGGTTACCAGATCCTTCATCTGCAAAGGTCAGAAGGACGCCTGAGATATCCTGTGGTGGAATTTAGCCTCACGTACAAAGGTCTTCCTCCTCCATTCCTATGCTTGTTCCTTCCTCCCTCCACTTTCTTCCCCCCACCTCCCTCCCTCCTCCCCCCTCCCCCCCTCCCCTTTCTCCCTCCTCCTCCTCCTCTTCAATTACATTATCCTTTCTATTGATCTTTGTCCTTCCTTTATCACCGTAATTTCATCCCCCTTGTGTTTTCATGTCCCCTTCATTATCACCCTCATCCCTTCTCTTCCTCCCTTTTTTATTTTTACCTTCCTCCCCTTTTTCCTTCTTTTTTTTCCTTCTACCTTCCCTCCTGCTTCCTTCTTTTCCTCCCTTTCTATTTTCCTTCCCTTCCTACGTTCCCTTTTTTCCTCTTTTTTACCTCTCCTCGTTCATTCTCCCTGCTCCTACCCTCCTCCTCCCCCCTCTCTCTCCTCCCTCCCTTCTTTCCTTCTCTTCTATCCCTCTCTCCTTCTCTCCTTCCCTCCTCCTTCCTTCTCTATCCTCTCCTTCCCTCCTCCCTCCCTCCCTCCCTCCCTCCCTCCCTCCCCCTCCCTCCAACCCAATCCCCTCTCTCCACCTTTCATTCTCTCTTCCCTCTCACCCACGTCATTTTCACTATTCTCAACCACTTTCAATCTTCTCTACTTTTTCTTTCTCTCTCTATCTCGTTAGTTACAGATACGTCTCTCTCTCTCTCTCTCTCTCTCTCTCTCATCACCACCATCGACACTTGTCTCATTAATCAGTCACCATTACCATCACTACCACAACTACCACCATCACCACCACTACCACCATCACCACCACTCACCACCATCACCGCTACTACCACAATTACCATCACCACTATCACAACTACCACCATCACCACAACTACCACCACTACCATCACCCACCACTACTACCACCATCACCACATTTATCATCATCATTACATCTATCACCACTATCACAACTACCACCATCACCGCAACTACCACCATCACCACAACTACCGCCATCACTACAACTATCATCATCACTATATCTATCACCATCACCACAACTACCATCATCACCGCCACTACCACCATCATCACCACCAGTCTCACCGTCATTAGTACCATTATTTTCATTGCTACCACATTAACCACCACTACCTCTATCATTACTATCACCATAACTACCACCATCACCATTACTACCACTATTACCACCATTTTTACCATCACAACCACTATCATCACCATTACCACCACCACTACAACACACCCCTCCCTTAGTATTCCCCTCACTAATCCACCACGATTCTCACCCCACACCCCTCACCCAATCCCTCAGACAAACACCTCTCCTCACCCCTTCCCTCACTGGATCTCCTCATCCTCCCTTCACCCCTCCCTTCCTCCTTCCTTCACCCCTTCTTCTAGCTCTTCCCCTCATCGCATCCCCTCGATTACTCTCCCACTCCTCTCATGCTTTCCCTCACTTGTCACAACTCTCCTCACCACCACCACCACCACCCCTTCTCCATCCCCCTCCTCCTAATCCCCTTTACCCTCCCCTCACCCCTTCTACCACTCCTCTCACCCCCTTCCTCACTCACAACTGTCCTTACCACCTCCCCTCACTCCTTCCATCACCTCTGCACCCTTTTCAATCACCTGTCACTCCTCCCCGCTTCCCCTCACCTCCTACCCCACCTCCTTCCTTTTTTCACCCGCCCCTACACCTCACCACACACACACTACTACAGTACCACTTTGCTGTCACTCGGAATCGAGTATGACGATCATCCAGCTATGATACAATGATATGCGTTATTATGATGTCACCTACTGTAGGTTGGTGAGTTCTGAGGTGACTAAAGAGGCCAATACGGGACTCGCAGCGTCGTTCACATTCGTTGCCCATGTGGAGGGCTGCATCTAGTGCAAGAGGGGCGGTGGCAGCGTCTTTCCGGCTTTGGCGCTTGTCTGCCTCGGTTTTCAGTCGGGCTAACTCGAAAGTATTGACACCTTCTCGTGTGGTGCTCCACCAAGCGTTACGATGTGGAGTGATCGACTCCCAGGTGAGGGGGTCGATTTTGCACTTTTTCAGGTTTTGTCTTAAGACTATCCTTATATCTTTTCAATTGCCTGCCAGCGTTACGTTTACTATTCGTAAGGTGACTGTAAAGTAGCTGCTTTGGCAATTTACTGTCGTCCATGCGGATAACATGGCCAGTCCAGGTAGTTTTCATGGAGAATGGTAGCCTCGATGCTCCTACAGTTGGTGTCAGCAAGAATACTGGCATATTCTCTTGTCTTCCCAGCGAACACGGAGGATGGAACGTAAGCTACGTTTTGAAAGTTTTCAAGTGCCTTGAGATGCCTCCTGTAGGTGACCCATGTCTCACTGCCATATAGCAGGGTGGGGAGGACCATTGCTCGATATACGTGCAGCTTTGTAGATAATTTCAGCTCCCTACAGCTGAAGACACGGTTTCGGAGTCTGACAAAGGCTTGAGATACACATCTGATCCAATGCTGAATCTCTTCATCTATGTCTGCGGTGGTGGACAAGTGGGAGACTAGATACCACAGAAGATGGATAGATGGTTGAGGTGTGTCTGAACCAGGGGCAGGTTGAAAGAGAATCTGAGTCTTATGTACATTCACCTCAAGGCCGAAGTGTGCATACACATCTGCATAGGTGTTCAGGACCTCCTGCCAAACCCACTGAAGTTGTCAAATCTCCAGCTCCGCCCCACCTCCTCCGACTCAAGTCCCTCGAGTTCCCACCCGAGCTCCTCAGTGTTTACACAACATCCATACTTCCCAAGCTCACTCTATGCCTCCCTACCTGGTCTTCTCCCAAATGCCACACAACGTAAACACCTAGAAAAAGTGCAAAAGAGGGCATGCAAGATTATTCTCTCCCCCTTCCTACTCCACATATCAAGAAGCGCTCACACACTGACCCTTTCGACTCTCACTGACCATCACCACGACCTCATCTGCAAATTTGGTAGAAGCTTCTACACCATCCTCGACACCGGCTCTACTACCACCTGAGATCCCTAGCCGAGAATTGCTGTCTGACACCACAACCGCATCCAGCCCATACGTGCCCGAACTGATCGCTATAAGAACAGCCCAGTCCCAACCATTGTAAAATTATCAATAACTTAAGTCAAACCAGTGTATTCAATCCCAGTAAATACTACTTCTTGCACTGTCACTATGTTGAAATGCACTGTAGTTTGAGCTTTTAACCCATCTAGTTATTATATATCTTATTTGTATCACTTATGTTACTTGTATATTATTTGTAATTGAAACCCATTCCCCAAATATGTAACTGTATATTTTCAGCCTTCTGGCTGCCAAGCTCTTTCAATAAACCAATTATTATTATTATTATTATTATTATTATTATTATTATTATTATTATTATTATTATTATTATTATTATTATTATTATTATTATTATTATTATTATTAATGGAAGCTGTCGACACCTTTTTTCTTGCTTAGAGTCGTCTTATGTTGAAAAGACTCCCCTTTACCCGGTACTGGATGTTCACCCCGCCGGTTAAATTGGCACTGGCACGAGTAAGGAAGGCAGCCAAGAAAATGGAAAAGAGAGTTGATGCCAGTACACACCCTTGTTTAACCCCCGTTTGGATGGGGAAGAACTCAGACTGGGTGCCAATCATGCCATTGTGGAGTTGTCTCACAATGGCAATGAATTTTGGTGGGCAGCCAAAACGGCTGAGGGTCCACCAGAGGGCTTCCCTGTTGACCGAGTCGAAGGCCTTGGTTAAGTCAATGAAAGCCATGTATGGGTCACGACGCTGTTCTCTGCACTTTTCCTGTATCTGACGGGCAGCAAAGATCATGTCAGTGGTGCCACGTGATGTTCTAAAGCCACATTGAGATTCTGGGAGAAAGTTTTCCGCCCAGGAAAAAGGCTGTTAAGAGGACTCGGGCGATAATATTGCCAGCTACGGACTTCAGCGAAATCCCGCGGTAGTTGCCACAGTCTGATCGGTCTCCTTTGTTTTTATAAATATTGACAATGGAGGCGTCTTTAAGAGCTTGAGGGATTTCCTCCTTTTCCCATATATTCTCCAGGAGAGTGGAGACGGCTGGTAAGCAGAGGTTCTCCTGCTCTATACACCTCGCCTATGATTCCATCAGGCCCTGAGGCTTTTTTGTTTTTCATCTGTTTGATGGCAGTAGCTACCTAATCCAGGGATGGAGGATAGCTGAGGTGGGTCAGTTCTTGATGCTGAGGGACCTGCTGGGTAGTCAGGACATCCACATCGGTGTTTTGGTTGAGCAGTGAATGATAGTGCTCTTTCCAGCATTGAAGGAGGCCTTCACCGTCTTTAATTATGAAGTTACCGTCAGATGAGCGGAGGGGGCTTGCCCCACGAATGATTGGCCCATAAAATGCTTTAATAGCATTGAAAAATTCCCGCATCTTGTGCTGATCTGAAAGTTTTTGTGCTTCACATGCTTTATATTAAAGCCAGTCGTTCTTTACATTGGAAAGTTCTCGCTGGACCGCCACTTTCTTCTTGCGGAAGGTATCGGCTTTGGTCCTAGACTGAGGGGTTGTTCTGCCAGTCAGTAAAAGCAGCACGTTTATCATCAATGAGTACATTGATTGCCGGGTCATTTTCATCAAACCAGTCCTGGTGTATTCTTTTCGTTCTGCCGAGGGTCTTCTGCAGGTTTTTGTCAAAACAGTGTTGAGAATATCACCCAGCACTGGGATTTGCGTTGTTTGCTGTTGGGTTGTTTATCACCCATGTTCGACCTGCTCTGAAAGCATGTGCTACCGCTGGATCCCAGACGCTTAGTATTAAAACCTCTGGAAGATTGATGCTTTCGCTGTTTTGGGGGCAACGTGAAGGAGGGCTTGGCTCTGACGAGCCCATGATCAGTGTCACAGTGGTCTGAGCCACACATGGCACGGGTGATGAGGACATCTCGGCGATCTCTCTCTGACAATGATGTAGTCAATGAGATGCCAGTGTTTGGATCGTGGGACGAACCCCTGAACTTGGCCTGCCTAAACGTTGATTTATGTGGTGAGTCAGGAGCACAGACTGCAGCCACACATCTTGGCTCTCTGTTTTCCTGATCCAGTGGTAAGTATTGCAACTACTGGGAGAGGGTAAGTTGCAATGGACTGCCGATAGCCCAGTTTGTTGGGTTTCGCTTTAGTAGCCTGTCCATCACGCATTGCCTTCGTCTGCTGGTGTAGTCGTTGGGTTTCCACGGTGATCACCTCTTCCGCCTATCCCGCCGTTGGAGTCTTGTTGGAGCTCTGTAAGCATGTTTTCGTTCGGGGTTTACTCCCGTAGCCTTATACCTATTAAGGTTAATCTGCAAGGCAGCGGGGCGGTGGTTGGTAGGCGCCAGTACGTGTCCACATGCCAGTGGGCCTATGCGCCGTCCCTCTGGGGCCCACTGCTACTCCGAGATCCCTTGCTGGTCTAGCCTGGGCCCATGAGGCACCCAGTTACCGTGAGTTACCACGAGGAGGCACAGCAGGAGTCTTGGTGGTGAGGAGGCTGTGTACTGGCAGGGGAGGACTTATGCAAGTTGTTTCCCTATTCGCCACGAGGGTTAGCTGAAAGCGAGAGGGAGCAAGCAGTGCTTGCACATTAGCAATGACATAAAGCTGCCACACTAGACACATTTCACCACCCTGTGTGTATGGTATACACACACACACACACACACACACACACCTGCTCACCACCTCTCACCGTCTCCATTCACATTCTCCCTCACTACTCCTCTCACTACTCCCTCACTACCCCCCTCACTACCCCCCTCACTCACCCCCTCACTACCCCCTCACATCCACACACCTTCTCAATCACATAGCGAGAAGAGTCTTGTACCAACCGTGTTAAATCAGCCCAACTCAGTGCTCGTCTTAAGGAATCGATAAACTTATGAAGTAGCGAAGATGATAATATATACAGATACTTAATCATAAAGTTAATAAGTAAGTATATAAGTGAAGCAAGAAATCAGTCCTATCACTCCCAACAGCACTTCACAAATCAGAATCACTTATCTCAACTACATGTATTTGTACTCAGTATTCTTACTGTACTTAATGAGTTCATAAGTTAAATAGAGAATTAAGTAAGTATATAAGTAAAGTGCGTTAAGTAAGACATCTTCACCCTTCTCTCCCTCCTCTAATCAGTCTCACAATCACCCCCAATCGTATCACCGCCAATCTCTCTCACAATCTCTTCTATGTGCCAATATATTCCACCTAATCACACAGCTTGAAGGTAAACACATATGCGCCCCGCCTTGTCCAAACAGGAGGGAGGGTGTTGCTCGCTCGGGAATGTGTATGAGAAGCCGTTTTATGACTCTTGGATGGGACTTGCTAACCCGTATTTAGACTTAAGGCGAGGGAGTGGAGGTAGTGGCGTGGGGTGGGGTGGTGTAAAGGACCTCGGAGCTATGAGAGACAGATACACAGCATCCTTTTCAATCCTTTTATAACATCCTTCATCACTTAACTTTGAGGATATATCCAAATTGTAGGAGTTGTAGGAGGTGTTTGGTAGTACAGGAGGAGTCGTAGGTGTTTGTGGTAAAGGGGTTTTGATTGTATAGAGGAGGGAAAGGAAGGGGGGGGAGAGGAGGGGAGTGTTAACAGAACTAATTTTCATAAAGTACGCTTGGGGGACAGTGAGACGGGTGTTAGGCCGTGTCAACTCCTTCCCTCCCATACCTACTCTTTTCCCCCCCCCTCCTTCTTCTCTCTCTCTTCTCTCTCGGGTGGGGGATGATTTGGTTTCGTCGTCTGGGGTAAATCTGACTTGTTAATTATACATGGTTTCTAGAGGAGGTGTTAACTATGGTTTCTAGAGGAGGTGTTAACTATGGTTTCTAGGGGAGGTGTTAACTATGGTTTCTAGGTAAGGTTATAACATTATGAGCTCAGACAAAGAACATCGAAGGAATTTAGATAAACCTTATTTAACAAATGCGTTAAGACCACACATGAACAAATGTCAGTAGAAAAACAAAGTGAACAGTTGAACAAGAACATAGACACTGATGAAGAACAAGTAGAACAGCGACACTGATGAAGAACAGACATGAACACAACACCAAGATAATAATTACACAGGAAACACAAACGTCAACATTATCTCTGAGTCTCCCTTCTTCCTCCTCCTCCTCAGCCCTTCCTCCTCCCCTCAGCCCCTTTCCTCCTCCTCTTCCTCCCCCTCAGCCTTCCTCCTTCTCACTCCTTTCCTTCTCACTGCTCAGCTCCTCTTCCTCCTCCTTGTTGACGAAGAAAACGAGATCTACCAACCAGGCGAGAGAGACTACATGTTAGCTCCTCCCCCGGCTAAAAAGTTGCCAATCTAATTACTGATATCGATGACGTCACCAGCAGGGGGGGGGGGACGCTTAAATGATTTTATATATTATTTTTTATTAATTTTGTCTTTTTATTATTATATCAGTTCTTTTCTTCTTTTTTTCTTCTTTCTTCTTTGGTCTCCCATTTTGTTATTTTTTTATTACTCTCAATTTTCTGTTTCATTTCCTTCTCTTTAGTATATTCCTTATTTTTATTCCTATCTTCTTCTCTTCTATCTTCATTCTCACTTCTTTCATTCTTCCTTTCTCTCCTCTCTCTCCTGTATTCTGTCGTCCTTCTCCTCTCTCTCCTCCTTCCTGCTATCCTTCTCCTAATCCCTCTTCCTCTCCTCCTTCCTATTTCGTTCCTCCCCTTCCTCCGTATCCCCTTTTCTCCTTCCTTCTCCTCCTCCCTCTTCAACCTCCTTCTACCCTTATCTTCCTTTGTTTTCACCTCATCTTTTATCACTCATTTTGTCTATTTCCTCTTGTATTTTCTCCCTTCCTCTTTTTATCTAATTTTCTTCCGTCTACTTCTACCTTCATCATCGCATCTACCGCCATCTCCACCTATTTGTCTCGTTTCCTCTTCTCTCTTTCCGTTCTACTTCCTCTTCTCTTCCTTTGTGTCTTTCTCTCCACCCTTTACACCTCATCATCACAAATTTTATCTTATTCTTTCGCTATGCGTCATCATTAACCTCTCCCTTCCATTCTCTCTTCCTTTATCTCTCTGTCTTTCCCTTCTGTGGTCCCTTCCTTCATTTCTTTGCTTCTCCCATTTATTCTTTCCCTCTGCTCTGTCTTTTTTATCTCTAATTCTCCCTATCCCTTCTCCCTCATTATCTCAATCTGCTCTCTCTCTCTCTCATTATTTATCACCATTTCGCTCATCTTCCATCCCATCTTCCTTATTTCCGTGTTATAATATTTGCCATGTATCGTATTTATTTCTCCATAGTAACGCAAGTGTAAATAAGTAAATAAGTAAATGTGTAAATTATACGTAAATAATGTCACGAAAATATACAGAATCATACAAGTAACTCGTATAATGCGTAATCCTATACAGTATACTTAAGATAATACAGTGATATAGAGTATTACACATAGTACATATGAATTGTGTATACATATTTTAGAATACATGTAACAGGGGACATAATTTGTATGATAATTCTTTTGTTGATATTTGTAAAGATGTGTGTGTGTGTGTGTGTGTGTGTGTGTGTGTGTGTGTGTGTGTGTGTGTGTGTGTGTGTGTGTGTGTGTGTGTGTGTGTGTGTGTGTGTGTGTGTGTGTGTGTGTGTGTGTGTGTGTGTGTGTGTGTGTGTGTGTGTGTGTGTGTGTGTGTGTGTGTGTGTGTGTGTGTGTGTGTGTGTGTGTGTGTGTGTGTGTGTGTGTGTGTGTGTGTGTGTGTGTGTGTGGACTCTGCCTTGAATGTTAACACAAAGAAATATTTTGATTGATTTATTTAAAGTTTTTTTTTTAATAGATTTACGTAAGCGTTGGTTAGTGATGAATAGTTGTTAGTGGTGGTTAGTGATGAATAGTGGTTGGTGGTTAGTGATAAATAGTTGTTAGTGGTGGTTAGTGATGAATAGTGGTTGGTGGTTAGTGATGAATAGTTGTTAGTGGTGGTTAGTGATGAATAGTGGTTGGTGGTTAGTGATGAATAGTTGTTAGTGGTGGTTAGTGATGAATAGTGGTTGGTGGTTAGTGATGAATAGTTGTTAGTGGTGGTTAGTGATGAATAGTGGTTGGTGGTTAGTGATGAATAGTTGTTAGTGGTGGTTAGTGATGAATAGTGGTTGGTGGTTAGTGATAAATAGTTGTTAGTGGTGGTTAGTGATGAATAGTGGTTGGTGGTTAGTGATGAATAGTTGTTAGTGGTGGTTAGTGATGAATAGTGGTTGGTGGTTAGTGATGAATAGTTGTTAGTGGTGGTTAGTGACGGTTGTTCAGTGAGTTGTGTAGTCAATATGATACACTATTTTCGCCTTTAAAATATGGGAAGGTAATTTTTTTTCCTTAATGTGAAAAATAAACTTAGGAACCTTTGTGAGA